ACCCCCCGGAGAGTGAAGCGCTTTGGGGGGGGGGGGCGTTTTTCCGTCCCGTTTCTTTTCACGAATTGACCCCCTCCCTCTCTCCGACCCCGTCAGTTGATGGTCATGCTTGCTTCACTTACACAACTATTAAAGCAACGGCGTTCCCACCCACGAAGCTAACTGAATGTCTTCTTCCCTTCAACGCCATAGTGATTATACTTTGCGAAAGCCATCTCGAGCGCCCAAGAATCTGATTCACTCGTCTCTCGCCATTTTTTGCCTTTAAGGTTAACGCTGCCAAACTCTCTGCATCTTCCCTTCCGTCGCCAGGCCTCCACCCAAATAATCAGTTTGGATTCGATCCAACAATTGCAAATTCCGCTCCAACGAGCCGAACCAACCCTCTCACCTCCTCAGAAACATCCGGCATAATGCTTTCCTACGACGCTCCTGGACACCTTAACGGACAACAACCGACGGGTCGGGCGGGCGGCATGTCGAACCAGTCTTCTGTTCCTCTGAAATCGAGCAATTCTGGTCATGTCAATGGAAATTTGGACAACAAATATCACCACATCTGGCTCGTCACGGGCCCTGCAGGATGCGGCAAGACCACCGTTGCCGAGCACATTGCCTCGTCCTTGAAGGTCCCCTACGTGGAGGGCGACAACGTATGTCCAACAGCCTACAAGCTGCTATGTTTCACTTTCTAACTATCAGTGTAGTTCCACCCTAAAGCCAACATTGACAAGATGGCCAACGGCACGCCACTGACCGACGCCGACCGCTGGGACTGGCTCACCGCGCTTCGCGAAGAGTCTCGCCGCCAACTCGCCAATGGGTCCGATGGTGTGGTCCTCACCTGCTCCGCGCTCAAGCGCAAGTACCGAGACGTCATCCGTGTGGCTGGCTATTACGACCACTCGCTCCTGATTCACTTCATCTACCTAGATGCCGACGAAAACGTTCTCCTGCAACGCGTCAAGAGGCGACAGAACCACTACATGGGCGCGAACATGGTGTCGAGTCAATTCAGCATCCTGGAGCCTCCCCAGGCGGACGAGCGGGACGTCATCTCGGTGGACGTCAGCCGGACCATGGAAGAAGTCAAGCGGGACGCACTCAACCGGGTGACGGCCATTATGGAGGAAGAGCAGCAGTAGTGGACGACGAGTCACGACACGGGACGACGACATGGACATGGACGTGACGCAGGCCTAGTTGTGGCGTGTAGCACACACAAATCAGGTTTCATGCTTTCTTTCTGTTGGGTGGGAGCTTGGAGTTTTTGGGTGCCAAAAGGCTAAGGGTCCCCAGACGGACAAGGCGTTGCAAAGGGTTCGGGAGTCCAGGGCTGCATTCGGCGATTGGGTTGGCGTCGAGAAGCGACGTCGCCGACGAAGATCCCCTTCGGATGGTTAAGTGGAGGCTCGCCGCAAGTTGGGTTACACTGTGTAATGGAAGGTCGAGGAACAAGATGTGGGAGGGGGGACGTCATCAATCATCATGGTCACGGTCACGAGGTCTTCAGTGCAGGATCGCGCAGGAACGCCAGACAGGGCTGCGCGCTGGCAGGCACGACGTGGCACGGCATAATTGTGTGGTGTGTTTGTTTGTTGTATTACGAGGCACAGAGCAGGGCAGAACAGGACAGGACAGGTCAGGACAGGTGCTGCCGAGTTGGACCGTTGGGTTGGTTCGTTGGAGAGATTTCACGACTCAGCCAGTCCAAGGCGGCGGCAAATACTACTACTTGGATCCCTCTCATGGCGTCGGACAAATGACATGTCGCACATTGGCGGGACTGGTGACTGATTGAGCTGGGTGCAGACTCTGGGTACGTCGCATTGCGTCGCGCATCTGGCGGCCGACGTCTGCGACAAGAGGTACCCCGTCGTGCCCGTCTCTCCGGCGCATCCTCCCCGTTCTCCCAGTTTTCTCCATACACCGGTGAGGGGGCCCCAGTCAAGCGACCGCTGCCTGCCCATGCAGGTTGGTCACGTTAGCGAGAACCGGTCAAGACGCAGGTAGCCGCCATGACTATGGGTTTCTTTTGCATGTCACCGTCAGCAGAGAGAGGGGCAGCGACCTCTGCCTCACTGCGCATGCCGAAATGGAAACAACATGACCTGCAGCCTGCGATTTCCAATTTTGTCTACAGCTATGCGCATCGAGGGGCGACGGCGGCGGTCAGGCTCGCTCTCGGCCACCCGTCATCATCTTTTCTCCCTCGTCTCGCCTCGCCGGACCATAGCCTCATGCATCCCCCTTTGTCTGTCTGTCTATCTTTCCTCTCATGATGCAATCGTCTCTTTTCTCTCCTCTGTGCAGAGGGGCCGTGTCATGGCCACCCTCCCCGCAATCTTTTGTTTCCGCGCCCCCCCCCCCTCTCCCCTGTCCTTCCCCGCCTCGGGGCGCCCCAGACAGGTGGGTGTGACGCCGACACACACCACACATGCGTGCACACAAGCACATGCACAGACGAACGCACCACATGGTGGTTCTCCTCTTGGTCTCTCGCAGGCAAAACGACAGGACGTCTGCTGTCACACTGGCCTAGCTTTTTGTTTTTTTTTTCGCCTCTTGTCTCTCTACCTCTCTCTCTCTCACTCTTCTCTCACGCAGCATTTGGTGGAGCAAGAAAACAAAGCAACACATCTGTCTCTGGCGAAACACTCGCGTGGAGAAGGCGAGCAAGCAAGCCCGACGAACCGCACTGACGGGGAAAAGAGCCCTCTACCTCAGGTGCATGACCATGACGTCGGGCTCCTCGACCAGGCGGCGCACGACCTCGGCAGCGCGGGCCATGGTGGCGCCGTCCACAACGCGATGGTCAGCGCACCAGCTAAAGTTGGAGACGTGCTTCTTGACAATCTGGCCGGCGTCGTCAAAGGCGGGGACGGGCCGCATGCGGCCGATGCCGAGGATGGCGACCTCGCGCTCGACAATGACGGGCGACAGGTAGGTGCCGCCGATGTTGCCAATGTTGGAGACGGTGATGGTGCCGCCCGTCATGTCGGCGGGGGGCAGACGGCCGGCGAGGGCGAGGCCCTGGAGGCGGGCGAGCTCGGCGGCGATGGAGAGGAGCGTGCGGTTGGCGACGTCCTTGATGACGGGCACGAGGAGGCCCGAGGGCGTGTCCATGGCGATGCCGATGTTGTGCTGCGGCCGCAGGACGAGGGCGGGCTTCTGCGCCGCGTCGGCCGCGTGGTCGACGCGCGCGTTGAGCACGGGGTTTTGGGGCAGCGTCACCGAGGCGGGCCCTTGATGATGAAGGGGCAGGTAGGAAGAACTTGGGCCCCGTGCGGGTTCCCGGTGCTGCCGGCTGCCTCGGAGAGGGCCCCGTTGAACCCGGGTTCCGGAAACCCCGCCGAACGACCGTAAAAGTGGCCCTCGTCGGCGTAGAGGAAAGTGCGGGATTCGCGGAGGGACCGCGTCATCGACTTGAACATTTGGGTGTTGCGTGTTCCGTCAGCGGGACACGGGTCTCGACGGAGGGGGCGCCGAGGGGGGCGCCGCTGGGGCTTTGCTGGTGGTGATGGTGATGGTGGTGCTGCTGCTGGCGTGGCTTCACGCGTCTTGACAAACTTGTAAATGTCTTCCTTGAGCACCCTGCCGTCGCGGCCAGTGCCGTCAATCTCGGCTATGTCGATCTTGAGCTCCTTGGACAAGTGTCGGACGGCGGGCGTCGCGAGCGCGGCGCACTTGCCCTTTGGCTTTGGGGTTTCTGAGGCTGGTGACGTGGATGGCGGAGCCTCTGGTGCCGCCGTGTGTGCTTGTGTTGCTGTTGCTGCTGCTGCTGCTGCTGCTGCTGCCGGCGCGGGCGCAGATGCTGACTCTGGCTGAGGCACGCTCGGTGTCGGCCTCTCTTCGACGGCCTCGGGAGCGATCAGCGTGTCGAGGTCTTCCTGTTTGGCGCCGCCCTGGATGTCAATGTCGACAAAGGCCTTGCCGACCTTGGCCATGTCGCCAGCCTCATAGTACAGCTTCTTGACGACGCCGGAGAAACGGCTCGTGATCTCGACCGAGGCCTTGTCGCTCTGGACCTCGCACAGAGGGGAGAATTCCTCGACGCGCGCGCCGGGCTCGACGAACCACTGGATGACCTCGCACTCGACGATACCTGCAGTGTGGCCAAGTCAGTAGATGCCTGCAAGGAGGTAGGTAGGCTTAGGGGAACATACCCTCGCCAATGTCGGCCAGCAGCACAGGCTTGACAACGCGCAGCGGTCGAGAGCTGTGGAAGGGCCTCGTCGACGGCGAAGACGATGTGTTGGAGGAGGAGGGGTAGAGGCCGGCTCTGCTTGCCACAGCCAGACGGGCGACGCTTTTGGAGGCGCTCCACCGCGTCCTCATAGACTTGGACAGGAACATGTTGGCGGTTGATGCTGTTGACGAGGAATCTCAATGGCAAGGAGGACAAACAGCAACGAGCAAGACGATTGGTTTTTTTTTTTCTTTCGAGGTCGAACAACAAAAGGCAGGAGAGAGGACCTATACTCCTTCTCAAGATCGAAGGGGAGAAGGGGGGGGGTTCGGTGTCTCGAGGATGCGGCTATCCGCGGTGTTGGCGGTCGACTCGGACTCGGACCACATGAGACCCATTGTGTCATGCCCGCTACAGTCTGGCGGGGAAGACGAAGAGGCCCTCGGCTTTACCCTTTGGCAGCGCCTTTCTCCGCATCCACTTCGTGGTAGCGCCAGGGCGCCCCCGCGTACAAGTAGGCGGGACTCAAGTAGGCGGGACTGCGGTATGCTCGAGTGGACGATGAGATGAATGATGTTTGATCGTGACGTCTTGACCTTGATGCTTGATCTTGATGTCTTAACCTTATGTCTTGATCTCGAAACTTGGGCCATGTATTCCTGAATACTACAGTGGTATCGTTCTCAGAAGCAGGAACTTCGCCATGACTGATGCAAATACGTTCAATGCACTTCTCATCTCTGGCTTGGTCTGGCCCTACCTCGCCTCCCAACACCTGGAATGTACGGCACACTACAGCAGCGCGCGGCCTCCGTCGGCCTTCACCAATCTCCACCCCCGCCGCCCGGCACCCGCCCGGAGCCGGCCCTCCCCTGCTGACCTGCCACATCGTACATCGGCTGAGGGCACGTTCGGAAGACCTGGCCCTGATAGATTCGTTGCTCAACTGGGAAAGCATCTTGAGGTCCCCTATTGTGACCACTGTGTTGTCTTGCTGTGTAGCGATGTGACCATAGGCGTAGCTCGGTGACTGATAGAACAGAAAGAGTAGCCAGTTGGCTCCTGTAGTGCACCCCAATTTTCTGCCGAAAATCCCAGCGCTACGCAACGTCCCATTCCTCCCACGCACCCAAGCAAACGACGCTTGATTGCTCGTAGCTCGAAACGCTCGTAGCTCGTCATCCATCTACCTTCCCCATCGCGACGCCTACCATGGCTTCCCGACTCGCGAACCCGCGGCACTTCGTCGCTTGTTCCCTCTGCCAATGGCAGCAACGCCTTTTCACGACCTCCGCCCGCCGCCTCGCCGAGAAGCCTGCGCCGTTACCTCCAACGCCCTCATCGCCGTCTGCGCCGGTGGGCACCGTCCCCCTGCAAAAGCCCAAGCCAGAGCTTCCCGGTGCCGCCATCAAAGCCCCTCGTTCCTATGGCGCCCGTCTCGACAAGTTCACACCCGAGCCTCTGCCTCGTCCCATCGGCATGCCAGGCCCTCCTCACCCCAACGACAACTCTGGCTACGACCCGCGCACCATCAAGGAACGCCGCGATGACTTTGTCAACTACGACAAGCACCTCGCCCGTCGCCGGCAGCTGTACGTCCACTCCGTTGCCCTGCACCTCCAAGCCCGACCTTCTTCTTCTTTCTTCTACTTTCATTCAGCCTACTGACGAAAGAGACACACACACACAGAAAAGCGCAGATGGCCCGCCCCTACTTTCGCGACTGGAGCAACCTCAAGTTCGACAACGGCAAGTCCTTCCTCGCGCCGCCGCGCCCCTTCAAGGCCGAAGTCTCCCTCTTCTTCCCCAACTTTGTCGGCGACACCCTCGACCCCGAGCACGGCCGCTTCCGCGCCACGACCAACGTCCTGCACGGCAAGACGTCCATCGTCGCCCTGTTCCAGGGCCGCTGGGCCGAGGACCAGACCGACTCGTTCCTCGCCCCCGCCGCCAACCCCGCCCTCCACGCCCCGCTCGCCGACGCCGGCGGCGACCGCCTGCAGCTCGTGCGCAGTCAACATGGAGGACAACACGCTCAAGGCCTGGCTCGTCAGCCTCTTCATGGGCGGCCTGCGCCTCCCCTCGCCGCCTCCGAATGGGGCCGCTACTTTCTCGTGCCCCGCCCGTCACCCCCGAGATCAGCGAGTCCATCGGCCTGCTCAAC